CCTGCCCCAGACCTGCAAATTGAAAATGCCTCAACTTTTTAATTTATACATTTCTTCAAACATTAAGCAACAGAGTCCCTAGAAATTGAATACAAAAGGTTACTAATGCATCACACCCTGAATTACTCTCTCTCTTTGAAACTGCAGCTTTGACCTTTTCAGGACTGAATTTTCTTATTTTCAAGATTGCTAAAACACAGGGAACATATAAAGTGTAAAAGGAAAATAAAATTGTAACATTAGAAAGGAGGTGTAGTAAGAATACCGGACCCCAAACTTTGTTTTAACTACACTTAGTTTGGTTTGATTTTAGTGGGGGGAGGGTGGGTTTGGGTTTCTTTGCTTGTTTGTAGGGGTTTTTTTTTCTTAGTTTTTGGTGTATTTTGTTTTGTGGGGGGTTTTTTGTTTTAATTTGTTCTGAATTGTTACTTGTTAAGGACCAACTGAAATGTCCAACTTCATTCAATCATTTCTATAATGTAAAGACTTGGCATGCTACAATCTCTGGTGGTTTGGTTGATTTCCAAAAACAGTGATTGAAGAATGGCAGGTCATAATGAAAATATTTTACCTTTTAAAAAACACAATTGCATAAAATACTTTTGTGTGCATTTGTGTTTATCCTTAGTTACCCAGTTTTCCAAAACTGGAGTGTTTAGATATTATCAATAATTCTCCTTCTCCAGAGAAACACAGAGGGCAGTTGAATTTCTTTGGAGCTACATACACACCTTATTTTTCATCTTCCTACTGTGCAGTTATTCGAACGAGAACCTAATTCAGTGAAGCCCTGCAATAGCTTGTCACAACTGCCTAGCTAGTTTACTCAATTGGATGTGATGGCAAAGGGCTCTTCTGAAATGTTCATGGTGGCTGAAAGAGCAAGAACTATATTTTATTTTGATTATATTTAGTTATCTTCCTATTCTGGGCTATTCAAGACTACTTGCAACCAAAATTTTCAGCCTTCTCAATTGAGGTTCCTCTGTGAATATGTGTCAATTTGAGGAAAAGTGGCATAATCCTAGAAAACGCTGAGCAGTCACTTCATCTGAGCAGTTTTCTCAAACTTTCTTTGGAATTCTTGAAGTCTAAATGCTCTTTAGAAAAAGAGCTTTTTGACATCAATTGCCAGTGGTTTAGGAGTTGATTCTAAGCATCCCTTTGTGGAAACTCTGTCAGCTTTCAATGATGCAGGCAAAAGTCAAATATTTGCTATCAACATAATCTGTCATTGATCAATGACAGATATCACATATATGTATATGTAGTTAGAAGGTAGAAGAATTCTAAACTTCTGGGATTGTTTTGTTTTCTTGGTCAGCCAATGGTTTTAAAGGGCTGTGTGTTTCTGTTTTACCTCCCTCACACACCCAGATGTGTTGGTGGCAGAGGGGCAGTGTGTTCTGTGTGGTGTAGATGGAGATGTAGGTGGAGATTTCAGCAGGTTCCGTGTGTGTGTGGGGTCAGTGCAGAGCTGAGCTTTGGGCTTGAGGTGGGAGCCTGTGGCAGCAGCTCTGCGTTGCCTGCCAGGACCCAGGGGCAGAATATCTGTCCAGGGGGAACCTAACTGAGCCTGCATTTGCAAAGCATCCCTTTGGTTGTGCTGCAGCTAAAAGCAGGGCTAGGATATTGCTGCAGCTTATACAGAACACAGGACAGCTGAAGGAAACCAGAGAAAAACATCAAAACAAAGCATCCTGAGGAACTGACTGGAAACGTTCACATATCTCTTGCCTTCTGCTTCTGTCTCCAGACCTACACAGAGATTTTTATTGCTGGTCTTACTGTCTGTTCTTCAAGTGGGTACCACAGGATGCTCCCCAGTTCAGTAGAGTAATATGGGGGGAAAATCCACATGTTCATATGGAATTTTCTGCATAGATTCTTTTAAAAGCTATCACTCCTCTGGAAATAAGCTAAAGCCTTGTTGGTTTGGGGTTTTTTTGGTGGTTTTCTTTTGTTTTTTTGTTTGTTTGTTTGTGGGGTTTTTTAGGTTTTTTGGGGGTTTTTTTGTTGTTGCTTTTTTTTTTTTGTTGGTTTGGTTTTTTTTGTTTGGTTTGGGGTATTTTTGTATTTTTATTATTATTATTTCATTATTTCATTTTTTTTTATTACCAGATTTCATTTACTTGCTTGTTTCTATCTCTCCAGTGTCATTCTGTGCCATGATAAGAGATATTAGGTAATTTTAGAAAAATAAGCACCATCCTGAGGTGTTCTGCAGGCTTTTTTGTTTGTTTGTTTGTTTGTTTTAAGTTTTCTTTTAGTAACCTAATTTCACATTTTCTTTTTAAATAGTTGCTGGCTTATGTGGGGGAGGGGTGAGAGCTGTCAGTGAATGACCTGTTAATTTTCCAATGACTTTGAGCTTCTTTTCCCAATGCTAGAGAGTACTGCTTTAAAGAAAATGTTTCTCTTCAGGTATGTTTTGCAGTCAGAATATTCTAAGGATAAAAAGAACTTGTTACCCCATGTAAATTGTGAAATGTATCAATTTAAATAAGCTTTTATTTGAAATTTTTTTTTTGAGTCAATAACCATACAATTTCTGAAGGTAGCTGTGCTGTTGAGGACTGTTCATGTCATCAAGTGGCTCAGTGGATGTGAAACACCAGGGCTATTTCCAGTCTGAGTAGAGGCTTAAGTACCAGAAATGGAAAACTTCTAATTGCATAAGATATTTATGGATAAGTATCTGCTGCATCTTTTCTCTGAATGATTCATTTTAAAGCCACCATAAGACTATGGCACCATGTAAATATTTTCATATCCTGTAACTCATCTGGAGAAGCTGGAATGATGTCAGGGATGAAGAGGAAATTCTGGGGGGAAAAAAAATGTTTTCTACAATGTCTTGAATGATATCTGCCCCACAAGCTGACAGCTGCAAGCACCAGGCAGAAAGTCCTCAACAGAGAGTACATTTAACAGGTTGCTTTGGGGGCTAATATTAGGAAGTGAATTATCATTTTACCTTCATACAGTGGTATTGTATTAAGGGCTCCCAAATGGTAATTTAATATAGCTGAAGGTCTTTAGAAGGTTTTAATAGCTTCTTAAGTAGCTAGAAACTGATATAGACATAAAAACTGATTAGACATAAAAATAGCTGGTATGAGCTATGATGGAGGTCTTCATTTGTTCCGTATTCACTTTGGCCTACTGATGGAGGGATTTTTCCCAAGACCTGAAATAACCCTGAAATGCAGCAGGTTAGTTTGCAACAGGTCAACAGACAACTGATGCCCAGGATGTAGACATTTGGAGCCTATTTTGATAACATTGCTGGAGGGAAAGCATTAGTTTGAGCATTAATTTCTTGGCGTTTTTAAAATGCTAGACTTGTATCTTTCTTACAGAAGAAAAGGATAGTGTCAGACACTTGAAGAAAGGGAAGAACACTGTTTGTGGACTTGTTGTTCTATTTGTGATTTCTGACCCAGCAGATCACTCACTCTCAGGCACTTACTGAAAAGAAGACTTGATTTAAACAGCTCTTTTTGTGAAGCGCTGTGAGCTGCGGACATCTTTCTCCATCTCAAAAAGCAGATACTCACTATATTCATTGCTGTGATCATCACCAGTGCTGAGTGCTTAGGTACTTGTGCTTTCTTTTGAAGGCAAGGGAGACAGGTTCCTTTATCAGAATCTGTCTCTGCAGTTTAAAGAAGATGCTCACAATACTTTTCTTCTGTTAAAACAATCAGGCCAAACTTTCAAGAAGCAGCATCGATCTATGCTTTTCCAAGGTTTGATACCAAATCTTAGAGATACCAATCCACATTTAAAACTGCAAGACTTTCATCCACATCAGTGAATGCAGCACTCAGAATTACCACCAGTGGAGCTTTTTCTTGTTAGCAGTTTAAAGTTGCATTGGAGCAATGTTCCAGCAAGCCCTGCATCTACTGACAGTGGAGGGTTCTGCCTAACTTCGCACTAATTTTAGAATGAAATCAGCATCACGTTTTGAGGCAGAAATTCTTTTGTTCTCCTGAATAATTGCAGTTCTGGTATCAATCAGTTCTTCTTTTATTCTTTCTCACATTAGAAGGATTTGAATTCCCCAGTTTTTGTGTTGGTTTTTACACCCTCATGGACTGTGAATTCACCTTGCTTGGTATACCACCAGCACCCACAGTTTGCACCGGTGCCCATGGTAGGAACCTGGGGACAAATGTGCACAGAGCTGTGGTGGACATGGTCTGGGTGTTACCAAAACCGACTGCCAAAGTGCCCTAGATGTGGTTGGTAGATCTACTTTCTATCTGTTTCCCCTCTCCACTGTGGCCTCCTGGGTACTTCAGAGACACCAGGTGAGAAATGGGTCCTCTTAATATCAACAAGACTTTGACTCCTGTATGACATTAAGGAAAGTTAAGCTTTCCTGAGCTGAGCTATCTCTTCCTGTCTTCTCAGGTCATGGGGACAATATGGTGGTTTTTTGCTTCCCAACAGCATTCTTAACAATTTCTGAAGCTAAAAATTTTTCTCTTAACTTGCAAATGATGGCACACATGACAGGTTGGGTACAACACAGTCATGTGTGCTGATACTTAGAAGGTGAGAAGATTTTGAGGTTTATGCTTCTCTCTATCGCAAAAATGCTTGTTTGCATGAACCTTGTTTTTGTGCTGACAAGCTGATATATTACTGTGGACACACAACTGGCTGTTGGCTGATACAAGAGAGAAAACCACAGTCATCTTAATGCTGGGAGACTTTTCAGTATTAGAAGAAACAGATGGCTTGGAAGAGAAAATACTAGAAGGGGGAAAATTTGAGTATTCTGGGTTGTAGTTAGATCAGTTCCAAAAGTGAAGAGGAAGATTCGTTGTGCGTTTTGAGCATAAACTCTTACTTTTCTTTGATATATAAAATATCAGCTGGTTTCAGTCCAGTATCAGAGTGCTTACACAATAAGACAGTCTTAATTAGTCATTTCAGTTTAAATTGGCTGGAGTTTTGATGTTAATTGAATTGTTCTTCCTTTGCAGGGACCTCAGGGGCCTCCAGGACAAAAGGTATAGTATAAACACAATGCTGTGAAAATGATTATTCCTCCTGTGCCATATTGCAAGCAGAAATGGTGACTAAGCTACTGTACAATGCATTGAATCAATTACCTTAGGTCCTGAATTTTGTTTTTGCAAAATGGAGCCATATAATGTGAGACACAAGATTTCTCATTTCCCCCATCATAAGAAGTTCAAGCAACGCAGAGCAGACTGTTTTCAATCTGTCTGCTTAGCTTTCAGGTGAAAAGGTCACTATAATTTTCTCATTCAAACACTGGTGCGATTAAGAAACCAAAGTTAAAACATTGTGAAAGGTGGGGAGATACAGTTTCTGATTAAATGCATGTCTCTGCTCAAGTAGATCAGTGCCATATGACTAAAGAATTGACCAGCAGAAACAAAGGACATAGGTGTTGCTGATAAATAGTGCTTGGTCGGTGGTGTTCAGGTGGTCTGCCAGTGTCTTCCTGTTCCTTCAGTAACCTGAGACCCGACTTCCTGGGAATGCCTTCAGCATTATTTGCACTCATTAAAGCTGACTGCCTCGGTTTGATTGAGTGAGTTTAGAATTTATGGAATTACGCCATTAAAACAGTCCTCAGAATATCAGCAGTAGCAGCTAGTGAATGGTACTTTTCCGGCATCTGACTCGCATAGCACCAAGGTGAATCATTTTCTAGCTGATTTCAAAAGATTGAAAAGTTGTATGAAAGATATGTAACAAAACAGGTATAATTTGTATAAAGGGCATAAAAAAGAAGAGGAAGGCATAAGTAGTATTGGCATATGTGAGAAGGATGCCTGCTTTCCTTACTTCTGAGATAATGTTCTTTAGAGTAAAGCATATGTTAAAACAAAGCTTTTTTAAGAAAAGAAAAAAAAACCTGTAATATGTAAAAACATAATCCCAAAGTATACAAATTGGTGGAATTTTGGCAGCTGTGGGCTGTATAGAGTTTGCAGGCTGAAGGAGAGAACTACCCTTTGTGTTTAGCAATGCAGGAATGCGGCTCATGTCTGAGTTGCCATTACAAAACTATACCCTGAGAATTGTAGAGGAGGATATTTTCCATGTATGAGATCAGCAAACCCCACGTGCTGATGAAGTTTTGAATATCTGATAAACATTTACTTACCACAGTAGAATCAGCTTCATTTTACACTTTCTAGCATACTGTGTTCCAGAAGAAAAATAATCAACTGCCACTGAGAGGAGGAACTATTATACATAGGATAGTTTATTGAGGCCGATGGTTTAATACCTTCTTAAGCTTTGCCTTCTGGTTTTCTGGAAAAATGATACAGAGAGGTGAAAATGTTCACTCAGGCCCTTTTGCAGCAGCTTAAAGCCATGGCCACGCATCCAGCAAAAAGAGACAACAAGGATGCCAAAGTGGAAGCTTTGGGAGAAAGAGGAGAACATTGTATGTCAAGGAGATATGCTGGGATGCGGTGTATTATTTCTTACTGATTCAAAGCTCTGTTACTAGCTGTTGGGGGGTTCTTGAGACCTTCATGAGTTGCTTCCTTTTCCTGTTTCACAGGATTTCCCAACTCTATTACTTGACAAAATGTGTGCATCCATTTTGAACACGTTTCCTTTGGGTGTCGGTGATAATTTTAGTGACACCTCTAACCAAAGTAGAGAGGGAATTGCTGTGCAGCAATTCTTTAAGTTCCGGTCCTGAGCAGTGCCATCTTTATAAATAAGAGAATTCTGTATAAGCAGGTGCACCTTTCCTGCTTTCCTCATGTTTTGTGTTTTCACTGAACTTCCATAGCACAAGATCCTTCAAAAAATTACCTATCACATAGAAATTTACAGTATGAGAGCTTTGTAAAAAAGATCCCTCCAATGTTATAAGTCATTGTTAATTTTTTTTTTCTTCTTTGTCACTTGTGTTTGGCCTGTATTGACCTTTTAATGCTGATTGCACTCATATTGGTGCAGTTTCAAAGTGTATCTGTAACTTGTACTGTCAGACTGAATCACTGCATATTATCTCTTAAAAGCCTTGAGATTGATTGGTGCCACAAGTTATTGAGCTTGAATGATCCCTCTAGAAGCATTAATAGTTTTGTTCAAGTCCTATATTTGATTGCATAGGATCAGTCTCAAAACTTATTGTGAGCATTAAATGGAATAGCATTTCAGTTTTTACATCTATGACGTTACAAAACATGAGCTTGAAGCTTGTTTCTGGAAAAGGCCATGCGGTCTTTAAAATGTACAATATGAGAATATGTCTAGTTTGTATAAAATCTCAACTGAATGGAGAGCTCAGCCTGGATAAAAATGAGTTCTTCAAAAATTTATTGCAGCTCCAATAAGCAAACATTCACCATTACGTCTAAATACGGTATTATGAGATGAAAGGTTTCATGACCTGTTTAATTTGCTAAACACTGGCGTCTGTTTCCCTCCAGGGTTCTGTCGGAGTGCCTGGTGTTCCAGGGAAAGATGGACAAGTGGTGAGTTCTCTGACTTTTTCAGCAGTGCCATTATTTATGTAGTGGATTAAGCAATTTCAGGCTTGTTCACATGAGCAATATGCAGCCTTATATCCAGAACTGTGACTTCAAATTGGATCCATGGAAAAGACCATGTATAATATAGCATAATGTGTTTTGTGCTCTGAAGTAATTTTTTTCTAGTTTTACCTGAACAAGTAGCAAATGTAATTAATTAAGCTGAAGGTCTGGTGTTCAAATTTGGTAATGGCTGATAGGCTGTAGAAAGAAATGCATATTAATAGTGTGTTACTTGAGTCAGTGTATTTACAAACAAAGGGTTTTTTACTTTTTGTTTACTCAGTCTCATGATACAAACACTTTCATTTATATTGGATATTGATGTGGAGCCAATACGTTGTTAATACTACTTACAAATAGAGAAGTAAAAAGAAGTGGAAGTACAGCTGGAGGATAATTTGAAATTGAATTCTGAGGATGAAAACACAGAGGAATAAATCAAACAAATATTTTTTGAACACAACCAAAAGGAAATGCTAACTTAGGCAAGTCACTGTCATAGTTCAGAATGGCCCTCCATAAGGAGAGGTCACAATAAAGCAGCAGGGCTGTGTTACAGCAATGCTAAGGTTTCTTGGCAAATCTGGGTGATGAAGTTTAAATAATATTTCTCCTTGACTGTAAAGAATATAATCCATCTGTTGTTCTCACAAGCCCTAGCATTCCTAGTGAACTTCAAAAGCACTGGCAAGGGATGCCAAAAGGAAAATGTATGATATATATGTTCACCAGGTTCAAGCAGCAGCAGATGGTAGTGTATAAGGGTTGTCTTAGAAAATCCTCTCTTGTGCTTCCCTCAGCAAGAGGGAATAAGTATTCCTAGGAATAAATGTTGTTTCAAATAATTTACTTTTAATTCTTCTTTCCTAAAAAAGAAAAAAAAAAAGGATGTATTGTTTCTAATAGCATAATACATGGTATTATGTGGAGTTGCGTTATTTGTATGTTTTATTATCCCTGTATTATGTATTGGTTTATTCCTTTGTACCCCCGTGTGCAACTTGGTTTATCCCCAGTTTTCCCGCCTTGTCCTCCTTTCCTGCCTTCCCAGTATCTATCCATCACCCTGAAAGAGGCATTTTACCCCCCCCCGGGTGACTTGTCTATCACTCGGTGCCCCTTCCCATCCATCCAGAAGCTTCTACTCAGGGCACCGGGTGATTGGGCGAGGACCTGGGGCTCCCCCCATATCCTTCCCCCATTGGACCCCACCATATCCCCCCATCCCGGAGCCACCCCCTATCCCTATCCCCATTGGTCGTTGGATACCCCTCCCTTACAGTTTATAAGCCAGTGCAAGCACCTTGTGCTTGTTCCTGTTGGCTGGCATCGTTTTAGGACATTTGGTCCAGTTGGGCTACAATAAACTCGGACTTAGCCCCCAGCAGGATCCGCTCTTCATTCACCACCGCGAGGCTTGCCAGCGCTGCCCAGAACCCACAAAGGCACTCTCCAAACCCCAGCTGGGAGCGGCGGAGGGTGCCTCCATCGCCCGCCCTCGCCCCAGACTGAGAGCTAGCCGGGGCTGAGACAAAGGGAACTGGGGCGGGAGCATGGCAGCTGGCGCCCAATGTGGGGCGCCAGCTGCCGCGCTCCCGCCCCGGTTCCCTTTTCCATCGCCCGCCCTCGCCCCACAAGAGCTAGCCGGGGCGGAGGAAAAGGGAACCGGGGCGGGAGCGCGGCAGTATTAGACCTGTGTTTTCAGAGTGGTCATAAGAAATAATGTAATAATCATTTATTTCACTTTAGTGATAGTGATAGGAATTTATTTTAAGCTATTCAGAGTATTACAATTAATGTGAAACAAGAAAAAATATTTAGAATTATATATATATATATGCACATATATATATATTTAATACCAGAATTTATAAGAAAATAATATGAAATAAATTTGTTTGAAGTCCTCAGATTTTTTACTTCATATTTTATAACTGCATTCAATTGCAACAGGAATGGTAGACAGTGCTTATCAACTGAGATGCTGTTGCTATGCATAATTCAAGTAATTTTTGTGGCCTGACTGAAATGCCAGTGAAAATTTACTTTGTGGCATATCTGTAGGAACACTTCAGAAGACTGGATGAGGTGAAGTTGGAAACTGCTTTGAATAGAACAGAACCAATGATTCATATTTTATTCAAGAACTTTATTTTTAATAGTAATCATACAAACTCCAGCCAGAAAAACTCACTCAGATGAGCAGAAAAAATTGATATTAATGAAATATGTCAAATATGTGATTAACGTGTCATTTTGGGAGACAGGGAATTTTTTTAAGCTCTTTGACAAAGTTGTTGCATGTCTATTTTTAGGAGACACATAGACCTATCTGTTGTCATGCTTCAGGGGACATAAAACAAATGTGCTTGTGAACATTATGGGAAGATGCAAACACATATTTAAATGTTGGTTATCAATTTTAAATTGTACTTTAAAAAAACTCCAAAATTTTCGATTTATGGTTGTCTATTTATTTGATTTACTTCAACATTCATCGCATCTATAACTTCGCAGACATTTAAAATTATTACCACTTTATTAAAGATGTCAGCATGTTTTTATTGTTCCTGGACTGCTTTACTTTTGACCTTTAAAAAAAAACCTGAATTACTAAAGTGAAACATAGGCACCAGGACAAATGCCACACAGATAAAAATAAATTACCGTTGAATCCTTTAGTTTGATTTCTCAACTCTTGGTCAATATTGACTAGAAACTACTTCCATATTATAAAAAAATGTATTATTTTCATGTAATCCTAGGCAGATGAAAGTTGCATGTTGCTATCTCTTTTAATAAATTAAAAAATTCTGTTAGGTTGGAAACAGTGATAGAAATGAAGTTTAAACTGAAGCAGTGTTTGTCTAAAGTTAGAACATATAATGCAGCCTAGCAATCCCATGTTTATATTTTGCTATCAAAAGGTCAGTTCTTCCAGTTTCTATGAAAAAACAGATTCTCAATGCAGTGCAACACACAAGATGTTGATGAGGACCAGAGCGATGATTTTAAGAGTTGGGCTGTACTGTGAGCCAGCTGCTGGCACTTCTGGCTTTACTCATTCAGATTCATGGTGACTTGCAGAATAGTTGGGTTCAACTTGCATGTGTGATGCGAGTCATCCCCTCTTTAGAAGTTATGTAGTTAAAGGACTTTACAAAGGCCTTACTGTCTTGGTTGGCTTTTGGTCATTGAGCTCGCTCTGTCAGACATCATCATGTACAGTGCACTAAGTTCCAAGTTAATATTTTTCCTTGGTTTAAAAAGCAGAGTGTTAAGCACATGCTTAAAATTAAGTGTGTGAATGCTTTTCTCGTTTGGACAATGAAATGTTTTTCAGCCGACGAATGTCAGAAGTGTATTCACTTTGCTCTATCCTCAAGCAGTTGAACAAAACAGAGTTAGGTCATCATCATCTATGTGCCTCTGTAATTTTCCTTTTTCTTTCTTTTCACCTCTTCTTTAATTGAAGAAGAGGAGATGATTGACAAGTCTGACCATAGGTCTGGGAATGAGATCATAAATTCTGAGTGCACTTAGAACAGTCTTTTAATCCCTTAACATATGAACCACTTGTCTTAGACAGTCTCTAGATATTAGAGTAAGTGTAATTTTACACAACCCACATGTTTTCGCAGGACTGTTAACTAGTAGATTTTTCTTGTATTCAGAGTAGCAAAATCCCTGCCATAAAACCTTCACACATTAGGCCAAATCCAGTGAAACTTTACAGGTAGCCTTACAAGGACATTTACAGTTCTTAATTTGCTCCTACATTTGAGAAACTACAGCAAGTTTATCTTGAGAACAGTAACTGGAAAGGAGCTGCTTAGTAATATCTACATCTGGAGAGAGTGTTTTTTCTGGGATGGGCCAAAACCTGCTGAAATAAGGAATCTTTCTGAGTGCTCCTTTTCCTTTGCAGACTTTAGTGAAATCCCAGGTTTCTTTCTGTCACGATGCAATGGCAGATAAATTTCCCTTTGTCCATCCCTGGCAGAAGCTCCTCAGGCACTCAAAAAGTACAAAAAAACATTAGTTCTGCATGGAGCTAGGAGGTTACAGTGATCTAAGGATATCATATCTGTACATTAATCATGTTGAAATGACCAAAAAGGGCTTCTTGGAAAGTTAAATTCTGCAAGTATAGAATATATATTCTGGTATTTTTTAAGTGGTGCTGACTTGATAAGGGCTGTCAATGACTGCAGCAGCACATAAAGAGAAAAACAGAGATTCCTTAAGTTAATATGGTATTTGGCCTGAAGGAACTTAGTTTCTGGAGTTTGTGCAAATAACTCTGTTATAAATAAGAGTTTGTCTGGAGTGGATAACCCCCCCCACTCTAAACTTCCATAAATCGCTTTTTCTTATGTAGTACTTGATATTTTGATGGGGTTTTTTATAAGGGTATATTGAAAACAGAATGAGTGGTCAGGATAGTTCCCTTCATTTCAAATTCTTCTGATAGATTTGCAATAGCAATATGATAAACCTCAGAAGAATTTTCCCTCAAATCAGTAGATTCAGAGTCTAGGTATGCACATTTCTTACTGCTTTCTTCACACTTTTTATTTCTCTAATTTACATGTATTTCCTTATTACTGTGTGCAGTGCTGTGTAGGAACACATTTGGAAGGTGGCAGTATCAAATTTCTTCAGTGAAATGAGGAAGGGTATGCATGTACTAACATTTTTTTCAAATAAAGGGAGGGAACATTATAACTGCAGTTCACAAATTCTCAGACAGGTTTGCAGGCCAGCTGAGTCTTGTTGAGGAGCCTTTCTACTTAATTTCAGTTGGTGAGTGGGCCAGGAGAGATTTCCAGTCCTTAAACAAACTATTTTAAGTTACTTTTGAGGGGTGCAAAAAGCAAGTTTAAAGGAATTGAATTCAACCTGGTTTGAAATGGAAATCATAGTAACATACCTGAAAAACCTCTTTTTTACCCTCTGTCCTCATCTGTGTATTTTAGAGTAAAATTAGATTGGATTAGGTTTGGGGCCTCTTGTGTTTCCTTATCCTTAAATTGATTACATTCTAGTGACTGAAAAATATACCAGTACTGACAGCCTTTCTTTCAGGGTGAGGTGGATATCAACCAGCTGGTGTTGAGAGTTATGCATCTCACCAAAACAAAACTTATTTCAAAACTAGAGCCTCCAGACTGGTTTTTTTTTTTCTGTTACAAACAAGAAAAGGTGGGGCCTCCAGCCATGTTATTTTTAGCTGATTGATTCTGGATATGAAGGTATATGCCTCAGGGGCAGAAAGCAGTCCAGTAAGGAGAAAGATGCTTTTGACTGCCTCAACTCCTTTAATATGGACTCTGGTGGGTAATACATTTTTAGACCTGTTCTGAAGTAGATTTTATGAGTTCTTATTGACAATTTTTTTTTTCATATTACCAGCAGAGCCCAAGCAATGCTCTATACACCTGAGTACTCACCAAATTCAGATTCACTTCAGTATAAGCATGAAGACTTCCCCTACCACAAGAGTATCTGAGGAAACTGCTACACTTATTTATTGAGCAGAGTGCTGAAAGTTGTTCTTTGCCCAAATACAGGAAAGAAATAGTGGGTTGGTCAAGTTACACAAAGGCAAGTTGAAAATAACTTAATATTAAAAAGAAGTCAAGGGTTACCTAAACAGTATTTCTAATGCAATATGTTTGCCAGTGTGGGGCGTGACGTTTGTGCATCTGGTAGTTTTGTTGCTGCTTTGGTACAGCAGAACCTTGATAGGCAGGATGTTCAGATAAGATGCTGCTGCTACCCCAGCATCCCACAGAGCTCTTGATCTTTCCATCATGGTGTCAGTTAAACCAAACATTGCTGAGGTGGCATTTGGAAATCACAGCCCATCTCAGTGCCAGGAGGGAGATTTTTATTTTTATTTTGGTGCCTCATCATCGTAGTTCCACACAGTGCTTGTTGCACAGGACAGCTTCTGTGGTGTAGTTTAGTTGGGAATAAGAATGCAGAAGGGCAGAAAGGGCAAGTAACACTTCCTTTAAATTGTGTACCAAGACACTTCACACCTCACTATAGCATCTTCCCCACTGTTCAGCCCTTTAGGGAAAAGTTCCAAGGGGATTCTCTGAGGGTACCTTTACACAATTTCTCTGGGTCTTACATCTTTTTCTTCTGTGAGGGTACAGTTTAGCCCTCATTAATTCTTTAACTGGGATCATGGGTTGTTTTCTATAGATACCAGAAAGTTTTAGAATTGTTGCCATCACTCTGTTACTGATAATTGCTCAAGAGTTCATGACTGAAAAAAGACAAGCTGTGAGCTAAAGTTAGATGTACTATAGAAAAAAATTATTCTTTAAATGGGATAAAAACACTATTGAGGCTGCTCTTGGAGTACTTTGTCCAGTTGTGGGCTCCTCACTACAAGAAACACATGGACAGACTGGGTAGAATCCAAGTAAGGGCCTCAAAGCCCTTAATCTCCAGAGGTGCCTTCTCAGTTCAAGAATTCTGTGATTCTATGAAAGAAAAAGATAAATAAAAATATGTGGTCTTGATTTGAAAGCTAGCTGATGTGCAGGAGACAATTATTTCTGCAACCTAGCACCTTTGCTGTCAATGCAATTAAAGAGAAACTACAACAGCAGTCAGGAAAGACATTAGCCATGGCCTGGTGAATGTAAAAAACGTGACATTAAGGACTTAGCTTTATAACTTCTTTCATTTTATCAGGTTGAAAAGCAGTCTGATTTAAATTGTTGCATTGAATGACACTATTGAATGTCTGGTGTTCCCTTACATGCATCACTCCTTGAATAGCAGTGTCATCATCCTCAGCCTCTTAAAGGTCAGTTGTGCTTTTTGTTCATCTCCAAAACACTAACCTATGAGGCTGAAGTGTACTTATAGAGCATTTTACACTCCAGCTTTACTCTTACAGCATTTTGATCTCTGGTTTTAATACATGCTTTTAATTATAAATAGATAAGTAAATAATAGTAACTAAACGGAAGAAAAATAACTAACTATACTTCCTAACAGAAATATTTTAAATTATTTCCATGTCAAGAATCAAAATAATTTTTTGGGATGAACATGTCTAAAATGACACAGTATCTGAGTAGGGAAGAGCTATCAATCTACTCGTCTTCAAAAGTTATGAAGCTCTTTGCTTCATAGCTACTTTGAGCAGAGCATTTTTATTTTTGTTTTGTGGTTTGGTTTTTCTTGTTTATTTTGGGGGGGGTTATGTTAAGGCTTACTGGGATTGTAAAAATCTGCACATAAAGTCAGACTGCCCAACCTACAAGACATTGTATAGTGACAAAGGGAGGCTCCCTGGCACAAAGCTTATTTAGCTGTGAACTGGGAATGTTCTTCAGGGCTAGGACATAGAGCAGCTTATGGGCTGTACATTTTAACTTCACCTTATTGCTCCCTGTTTCCCTGTACAGAGAAATAAAGGTCTAACATAGAGAAAGGAATATTTTCCCTGTTTTTCTGAACATTTGAAATCGAACAATAATCACTTCAAAAGCATAAAGGCACAAGGTAATTTCTTTGTTACCTTTCTAGGTTTGCCTTCAATCTTACCCATTCCCAGAGCTGGTTTCTGCACTTCAAGAATCTTTGCCTAGTACTTTCAGTACTGTTTGTGTAGTGCTGAGCACAGCAAAGGTGCATATAGGTCAGAAATGCGATTGCTGGTATGAATGGGGATTTACTATGACTAGGTGGCAGGCTGAGGTTTCCACTTTCTTCCAAATAAAGTAATTTTTTTGTTCTATTTTTGCAGTCTCCTTTTTGTCATAGCAGTAGCCCTCTTCATCCGTAGCACTGATATGTAAACCTGGGAGAAAAGTGCAAGCTTGGAACTTCAACTTTTTGATTTGAGATTTAAGGCCCTGAAAGCATCAGCCAACAGCAGCTGTTTGAAAATGAAGGGAACAGAAACAAGCGTGTTTGGGGCATGGGGATGAGGAGAAACAAGTGTATATTCATGGGTCCCTTCTGCTTCATTTTGTCAACTGGCAATTTTCTTCAAGAGCCTTTTAGGTCAATCCTTTAGGACACTCACACCTAATCTCCAACAGCTTCTAATCCTGACCACTCATATATCAAATATCCATGCCACTTTATCAGCCTCACAGCTACTGCAGTACAAAGGGGCCTTGAGAAGGGGCTGACACAAGTGACTATTTAATTCCCTGAGGACTTAATGGTACCTAACATTTTTTGCTTTGACTTGGAAAATGCCTCACTAGGGTTTTTCTAGAACTTTGATGATTTTGGTTTGTTTTTTGAGACAGTCCAACTCTTGAGGAAATTAAAATGTAATTAATGATTCTGTTACCTAATTTAGAACTACAACTGAGCTTGCTTTCACAGACAATCAGAGCTAATACATCTATGATTAAATCTGCCTGCAGAAGAAAGAGCGAAGTTCTTAATAGGAGACTTTTATGGAGGACTAGAAAATAAGTCTTCTTGTGTTGAGATAAATATAAAGGAAGAGCCTTTATCTTAATATCTCTAGCTTTTGAGTAGAGGATTAATTAATCATGTGTACTAAGTTTGAACACTGTGAAAATTGTTCACTGAGTTTCTGATACAAATTACTCTTCCAAATTCAATTGCTATGTTAGCTATTGGATTTAACTTTTCCACATTTTTATACACTTAAATAGCAGAGGACTTTTAGAAGAACCTAGTTGCAGACTTTCAAAAATCTTTCTTTGGCTGTTATTTTAATGTGCTTTGCGATGTCAGAAGTGTGATGAAGTTCTTTATGTGAGGGTTATAAAAGATATTTCCTGTGAAACTGAGATATACATCTGCAGAAGCTTTTACATAATAAGCCATGAACTCTAGTTGTTTTACAATAAAGTCTAACCATTGCGTTATTTTATCTAAAATGAATATCTGTTGTTTTCCCATAAATGTGGGATATAAACACTAAAATTATCTTTTAGAGTTTTTATTGTTTGACTTGTTTTCTTTTTTCTTGTTTGCTTCTTTTCTTTATTTTTAAAATTGAAGATGGGAAACAAGATTGAAAATAAGTGTTATTTGCTGATTGACTTATAAAAATCATTTATGACTCCTTAAGCTGTAGAAGAGTAATATATTACCCTTTGAACATATCCAAAATTTGGAACATTGATGTAATGCTGACAGTTTTTAAATTTTTTAAAACCACTTTTTGGCCACTTGTATGAATATAAAAAATGGATAAGCAAAGTATATTTAAAAAATTGAAAAGCTCTCTGTTTTTCCAAATTCTTCCATTTCTGAAACAGGCTCTTCTCATTTTTCCATTATCTGTCTTCTATCCAAGACCAGAAGCACAAATGTCAAGATAAATTAAGATAAGCCTTTCTAGCAGCATTTTTAAGTTTTAGAAGAGAGCATTGGCAGTCTTGCTGGTCAGACTGTGCTTTTAAGGTTAATTGGACAGATTTTAAGAAGCAGGAATCACAGGTCTCATTTCCATTTAGTGTGATATGTGTGTGTTTCCACCTTCTTTAGAAGAATAATTTCTTACCTTACATTGGTTAGAGTTAATATACCCTGACAAAATAAGTCATTTTAGTGCCTAGCTGTGGAGTACATCTTTTCAGAGTCTTTTAAAATTGTTTTTATCATTACTGGCCCATTACGAGAAGATTAATATATTTCATCATATCTTTCTTAACTTCATCTTTTTTTTTTTTCTTTGCCTTTAGGGTGAACCTGGTTTGCCTGGCATAGCAGGAGAGAAGGGAGAAGCAGGGCTCAAGGTCAGTATTGAAAATGAATTAAAAAAAGAAGCACAGAGTATGTGAGTGCATATGTAGATGACAGTTGTGCTTTCCAGCTTGGGTTTATATTCTGACTGGCTTTTAATGATCTGCTCCCTCCAGTGATCAGTGCTGTAAGAGGCTTTACACATCTCTCCATAAAGAAGCACATTCTTCTGTGGTGCATGTGTAATTCCAGTCAGTGGCACTGACGCGTAGGCATCCACTGCCAGCTGAATGCAATATGCCTGCAAGTGTTTGGGAATTTGGGGACCTTTTCAGAAAGGCTTTGTTTATGCTCCTTACAATGTGTTTCAGGCTTCTTTTCAAGAACTGCTGCGGTCAGTTCTTTGACAAATGTCAGGGTGAAGTCTTGAGGGCTGATCCTGCTATTATGGAAGTTAACAACAAGCCTCATTAGGAGCATGTCTCAGCCTGTATTTGCTACATCAGAATGACTCTTTGCACTTTATTGTTATATAGTTTGTTCTGTTGTTTTAATATTGAACAGGTGAAATAGAGCATAAAGTTTATGATAACTTCACTTAAAAGAAAACGTGACATGTCCAAGATGATGGGATCTCTGGGCCTCTTGGAGGGGGTAATGCTAATTTCTAATCCCATCAACTGCGAGTGAGCGTCTCTGGTGCACATGTGCTCTTCAGCTGATTCTGTGCATCATGCTGCCACTGACAGACATTCAAGGCAGCCTCTTTACATTTACTGACTGGCTGCTTGTCCATCAGGAATGAAAACAAACCATTTGGGAGCATGACCTTTTCTTACTTTGTATACAGAAGAAGCCAAATTATGGCAGTTGATGCTCCATTCGTATTCACAGCTGTAGTCCCTGAGTTGCCTAGCGACTGCCAGCCATCAAAAGGGGCAAAGATGAACCAGAGTGCAGATCTGAGCTACAAATGCAGAGATGAGTTGTCAGATCAGGCTGGGATGCAAAAGTGCTTTTGCAGTTTCTCAAGCACATTTTAATTTTGAAAAAAAAAATGTCTTTTAGCTATCTTTATGTTACAGAGGTTGTTACAGAGAATATAAAGAGCACTGAATGCTCTTTACTGTGGAACAGTTATGAATTTGTTCAAGACACTTAAGGCATTTTCTCTCTCTTGAAGAACTTTCTGAGCTGTTGACAGAATCATAAGACTTTCCCTTCACATTCAGACTTTTTGTTTCCTTTGTTCCCAAAACAAGGAGAACCACACATAGAAGCCACCTAGGTCCCTGCAGGCTGCTTCTCAAAGACATGTGTCTGTTTGTCAGGATCTAGGACAAAATAGAGAGAGAGATCTTCACATGTAAACCATTGAAGATTTTAAAAATAAAGCATTGAAGTTGTATTGTCCATTGAGATCTATTAAATTTACATATTTTATTGTTCGTTGGAGATTTTCTTGTTGTATTGTAACATCTGCGACATTGTCATCAGTAGTGACATAATATTAGTAAGGATAGTAATACTAACATTAGTAATATCTAATGATAGTAAAGCTAAGAGTTTGATTTTTCCCTGAGTTAATAATTTATGACTTCTTTGCTCCAATTATTTTCCTTAGGGTGACCCTGGAGAAAGAGGAGAAAAGGTGAGATGTTTCACTTCCTTTGTTGTGGTTCTCTTTTGGATAACTTGCTTGGAGAATCGCCACTGCATTGATCCCAAGTTTAAAACTGAAAAACCACAGCTCCAACCTAGAACTTGAGTGGCACTGAGCAGCCTTTCCAAGGGTCAGATAATACCTGCTAATGGAAGTTATTGATCTGTGGTTACTGCAGTGGGATTAGACACAGAGTGCAGTGATTGTGTGTTAAAGGCTGCACAGCTGAGCAATCAGGAAACTAATTCTAACTATAGTGAGTGTCAGAAGATAATGAGCCTGTCTGAATAAATTCGAGATTCACACATTTCTCATAACTTGCTTTTGATGCTCTGACACCTGCATGAAATAAAACAATTAGGTAACAGAATTATAAAACTACATAGATTTTAAGTGATACCTGGATAACAAGGTCTCAATGTACTAAAAATAAAAATGGAATGCTCCATTTGTGTTTGGGTAAGTTTAACTAAGAGCAAGGGAGTCTGTCCCCATGATCTCCAGTGATGCTGTCTGGAGAGGCATGATGCTGCTCTTACTTTCAGTGAATTAGCAAGAACTTGATTCTCTGATGTCCAGTCATAGCAAGGCAAGACAAGGAGGTGGAACAAGCTCCATGCTGCAGAAGAGGAGTATAGTTCTGCTCTTCCAGGCATAGTGGCTGGTAAAAGCACAGTGAATTCAGAGCTGAGCTTCCTCATCTGCTCACAGGGGCAGTTTGAGAACTAGCATAAGCCTTATTTTGAGTGGAAATCCATGCACAGCCTCATCTTCTGCAAGTATACTGAGCTTATATTTAAAAAGTAATTTGTTTGTACTGAGGTGCAATTTTCTCTTGAGAAATGTTTACCTGTTTCTTTGCAGCTGAATTTCACTTCCAGATCCATGTAAATCTGTGTAATAGCAGCTAGAAGCATGATTTGCTAAGGCAATTAATTTCACATTTTCAAAAGCACACCATAAAAATAATCTAAGGCAGTCTTCAAATTGTATAACCCACATTCAGAACTATGTAATTATAAAATATGCATAATGAAACAATTTCTTCTGTTAAAATTATATTTTTAAAGTACTTCAGTAATCCTTAGTTTGTTTTCAGACGTAAAAGGAATAACAATGAATTTTAATGTGTAGTGAATTTTTGTTACTTAAAACCATTCTATTTTTCCATGATTATCCTTTGTCTTTTTCTAAAAAGTGTGATTACAGATTCCTTCAATATGCTTTATCATGTTAAATGAACTTGGGATGACATTCCTCACTGTTACTCTTCCATGTTTCATGTATGTTTCCTTAATTAAAGTGCTGCTAGATTGGTAGCTGGTCCCATTGTATCAGTGACTGTGATGTATAAATTGCTAAGTCTTCTTCAAATGTAATTTCACATTAAGGTTTTCAGAACCATATGACAGATACTGAATAATGTTATTTGAACAGTACTAGTGATTCTCTAACCAAAGCCAGGAATGTGTTTTTAGTCTACTTAGGCTCTATTTTTATCGATATTTTTGGCATTTTAAATACTTATTGCACTTTACATGAACTTCAAGTCCCACAGAAGATTTTAGCCTGTATTCTTAACATAAAAAACATATAACGTATTTGATGTAGTCTGGGCTTCTTTTATGGTTACATGACTAGGTAGAAATTTGGTCTTTTTATAAATAAATATTGTAAAATTTTTATTTTAAAATTTGGGCATTTTTTTTAGTAGAAAATGTCTACTCATCCACAAAAAAATGCTATCTGAATGTCACTTTTTAACAAAAACAGTGCATAGAATTTATGTCGAAATAAAGTCATTTGGTAGCTCCTTGAAGGAGTGACCTTTAGTGAATTTTTTTTAGTTTGTGAATCATTCATGAGGGACTTTGGTCTTAGAAAGTATATGCAATAAATTACTTGGGAATCTCAGTAAAAACTACTGGGATTGTCTAACTGTCATCTGAATTTTATTAGATGCATCTAGGTGAATGTGTCTGTATTGGGAAGAAAAATGTGTTTGTAATTTAAAGTGCTGAATCATCATGAAATCATTAAATCATTCCTTCCTTGCTAAACTGCAGTGAACTGAGAAAGGTGGTAGATTATACCAGCAGGTATTTTGATGCTTTGTGGTGGGGTTTTTTTACAGATCTGTGAAAGGGATCACAGTTTTAGTGAAGTCTGTATAAGACATAGCCACTTCCTGGCCCTGTCACAGAGACTATCTGATTAACAAAATCAGCTTGTGTTGGTAATCATGTTGGAATGCTGACTCTTCTCTGCATACTGTGTGCTTACAGAAAATCATTAAAATATAATGTGTGTTTTGATTATAGGGGGAGGCTGGTGAGAATGGACTGAAGGGTGACACAGGAGAAAAGGTAACAACACTTCTTAGAAGAGAAGAAAATGTGTGCTTTAGGCATGCTTATAGTATAACCAAATAATGAAAATAATAATTTCTTCAAAAGAAAAATGCATTTTGAGCAGAGTTTTTTTTTAAAGGTGAGTGATTTGATTGAGTTCATTCTCACGAGCAGCAGAAAAAATTTCACTATTCTGTCCAACTGAGCATAAGATTTCTTACTTTATACAGCACACTATAGCTAGCTAGCTAGATAGCACTCCTCTTTGTTGAAATTTGCATCATGCAGAAACTTTGGTCACAACCGCCAGCTGGAACTGCCCCTTTGAATTACAGCTGTGTTTTCTGATATACCCTGTATCTTTCTCCCTTCTTATTTTCATCAAAGAGTGGGACCAAACCAGTATGGGACAAAAATTATGGTATCATGATAGACAACTTCCCTCCCAAATTAGCAGCTGGAAAATCAAAAGTTGACAATAAACATACTTTAACTCTTTATTCCAAGTGACATCAACAATAACCTCATTTTATACCTTCTTAGTTCATTGTTGCAAAGTACCAAGATGTTGTAGAAATCACCAAAAAACAGGTTTTGTCAAAATTTTTATTTTCCTGACTTTTATGAGAGACTCATGCTCAGAAAATTGAACTGGAGCTTTCAGTGTGGTTTCCTTGCACAAGCCAGTCTTTAGCAGTCAGGGAAAAGGCTGTGCTGGACATGAGAAAGGGTCAGGCCTGTTGATCTCTTCTGGCCATCATTTTTGAACTCATATGCTTCTAAAAAACATTTAATGACTATGCTTGGGCAGAAACATAAGTGCTTCTTCTTGTACCCCTGCATGTGTAAGGCTTAACCAACTTACAGCATTTCAGTTCAAGGAGAAATTTATGATGGGATTCATCAATCTGGTAAGGAATGCATGCAAATCCCTCAGGAGCTATCATTTGGGTACAGTAAGTCTGTACTTTGAAGAGCACAGGATTTTTAAGGCATATTCTAAAACCAACAATTAAAAGTAGACATTAGATTTAAGAACAGTCAAGTTACTTGATTTTTGGAGTTAATTTAAGTAATACTGTATTTGCAGTCATGCTTATTAATATAGATGGAAGTCTTAAGAACCTTATTTACTTACACTATGTATGCTGGTAACATAATCTTGATCCACTCTTATGTGATTTAAGAATATAATCTGCTACAAGTTTGAATTGAGATTGTTGTTCAGATAGATTGTTCTACAAGAAGTAAATGGTAAGTTTATAATCTCTCTGGGAATCCTAGTGCAGCTTCACCTGTTGCTTTTCTACTTCATTAGCCTTGAGGCTGAGCTTGCATCCACAAGGATGCCCATATTGCCCTGTGATCAGTAGCAGGCACACCTCCCCATTTGGGATCGTTTTTCAGGAAAGAAAAATGTTCTCTTCTTTCAGTGGGAGATCCTTTCTGCTCAAGTATAGTTTTAAATAGTGCTGTGTGAACTTTCTGCAGTTAGGCAGTCGAGTTGGGATCAACTTGTGGAAAATAGAGGTTCTCAGGAGACTTCTTATATTGCTATATCTGAAGAAATTTTAAGACACCTCCTGAACTTCATAATGCAGAAGTCTCCCATCTCTTCTAGGTTTCATATTATTTTCAGAGATGGGTGGTGACATGGAATATATTTTGTTTGTTTGGAGTGCACTGCTTTAGTCGTAATGGGTTAGAGTCCTCTGCATTCATTTTGCCAGACTTTGCAGAGCTGTGACTTCATTGACTTTCAGTATTTTTCTTCTTTTTCCCTGACTACAAGACAAATCTGCAGTCCATAAAAAAAGATACAGTTCTTAGAGGAGAGCTGCAGCTTGAAGTTTATGATAGGTAGCTTTGCAAACAGCACTTTCTAGGGAGATTATGAGGGTGGTTTTTGACAGATCATTTAGGAGTATGCATTAAACTTGGTGTCATTACATTACACTTGAGCTGCTTAACAGGGTTTGTATTCTTTCCTGTTCTTCAGCATAGGGGGAGGTTTTTGCTCAGGAGATTTAATCCATACTCCGTAAAACTTGAAAACATTTATTTGAAAGCTTGAATGGAATTTCTGTGAAAAAATAATACATTTTTATTCATGTGGAGGCAGAGTGAGATACCACATGACAACAGATCCAGACTTGGTTTAGGAGCAGGTTCCTGTTTGTGGAAAAAAAAATGTACATTTTTTTACTGAACTGCTGTACATAGTAACACTCAAAAATATGGACTTGGGTCCTTAATTCTTGACTTGAGACTTCAGAATTAAAATGTCTTTGTTGAATTGTTAAAGACAGTGTCAATGCCAAGCTGGAGTTCTTGCTTCTGGAATCCCCTGCTAAAGTTTCTTTATTAGCAAACTGTTCAAAGTTTCTTTATTAGCAGTGAATTGTGAACATACTGTACCATAATTTCTTTCTTTGACCTAATTTTTATTCTTGCATGAAGGTGGATTATAAATATTTTGTGTCTTATCCTCTCCATATCCATCATTGCCCTTTGAAATATTTAACCATTTAATGTGTCTTACTAGTTGCTTTGGCCCTTTATAGCTATAAAAGGTTCTTGAAGCTTTCAGGTGTACATGCTTGTAAGGGATATTAGCAGTGTCATTCATGCATGTCTATTAAAATGAGGTAGCTCAGGTTTCCATGCATGTATCAATCTCATAATACTGATTTTTGTGTTTTCTTCACTCACTGCAAACTGCAGTAATTGCATATTCCTATTCTTCAGAGGCTAGTGAGCATGTTAACCAATACAATTTAATTTTATAGGACCATACCAAAAAGATACCATGCCCAAACTAGCTGTAAAGCTATGGCATTCACAGAAACATCAGGAATGGGTACCCTCTATTTGTATTTTGTACAAAGAATATTAAACATATATACTTTGCTAATACATCTCCACAGTGTATTACAGTACTGGCTTCTATCCTACCTCTGTAAATCACTGGCAGGCTGCTCAGGAGCTTGGAGTTACTGCTATATAAAACTTGCTGCTTTCAGTGAACAATGTACATTTGTTCTGCATAATGAATAATTAAACAATTTTTCAAATAGAAGCACGCTAGTCATCTTCAATAGTATATAGCCTAACTAGCAAACTTTTCAGTAGGCTTTTTTCTTTTTTTCCTTTGGCATATTGTTCAAGATAAGAAAAAAAAAAAAACAGCTAATCCTCTGTCCTGTGCATATCAGTGCCTATGAAATCCAGTAAACCCAGCAAAATGTAGACAAATCTTTTTGAATGCCAGATGCCCTCTCAGAATAGAGACCTTTCCTGAATATGTAAATTACTATAAATGTCTCATCCTGTAAAGTATAGCCCTTCATGCATTAATCTGTCCATTTAAATACACTGGAGTGTTGAGGAAATAAAACTATGACCTGTCCTGATGAAGATAAACTCATAGGTCACTGTTTTTTGGGTTTTTTTCCAATGTGAAACTTCATTAGCACAAAAAATGTTGTCAATTGAGTCCTCACACTTGCCATCTATAAAATTAGGTCAAATGATCGCTCATATTCTTTGTAAATAACAGTGAATTATTTTTAATGTAGATCAGCAATTTAGAGATGTCAAAGTATGTCTCATATTCTGGCTGTGTGGAGTACATTTATACAACATCTGCAATTATTAGATCTACATTATTAGTTGTGAAATTTGAAGTTAACTATAATAGGTGTTTGGGTGAGTGAAGCTGAATCTGTCTCTACATGGTCTTGGAAACAATATTGCTGCTTTTCTGAATCACACTGATGTAATCAATTAGTTAAATGCCTATGTGGTAGCACAGAAAACAGGCAGCCTTGCTATGCATATATTTTGCTATATAATGTTGCTATACACTTAGATGATTTATGTGTTTCCTGGAAAATTGTTTATGTAGTAAGAGTGATTATTTCTTGTGGATTTTGTATCAGGGTGACCCTGGCTCTTCTGCAGCTGGAATTAAGGTAATGGAGTTCTAAAGAAGTTCAGGGAGAAGAGGGGTGGTTGGTCCATTCGCTGTGTTACTTCACAGTGCCACAGACATTTTGGGTATCATTTATGTTATGGTTTTCCACAGCTCCATCTTTAATTCATTTTCTCAGATCTCATGTCTTCATCTGTTTTCTTTTAGGGTGAACCTGGTGAATCTGGGCGGCCTGGACAAAAGGTACTACTTGGAAATGTTCAGTTTTCCTTTTCTGATGGATTTGTAATAAACGATGTTACATCTGTGTTACCAGTGGCACTTAACTGCACGGGGATGAGCCCGAGGCGGTACAGTTCAGCAGCCCAAGGCTCGTACACATTTGGTTAATGTTTATCTTATATTTTAGAAAGGCACAGGAATGATGATACTAATTAATATGAAAAGTAATTTTGACTAACCCATCTTCCCTTTTAGCCCTAGCATACTTCTTGCATCGTAAGCTTACCTCATTGAGCTGGTGAGACTAACAAAGAATGGCTCTGCTCCTTGGGTCATCTCAGGCTAACTCTGCATGTTTGACTATTAATCTTCAAACTGTGGTACACTGTTAGATCTCATCAGGACGAAAATAAATATTGGTTAGAATCCCTTTCACATACGCCTGTGAGGGAAATCAAACCATCAGTGGCATACAGTGTGTTTGGAAGGACACAGACCAGGTAATGCTGTTCTGTTCTTCCTTCCAGTGGAAAATTCCCCTGGGTGCTGTGTGGCTGAGGCTGCTTCTGCAAGGAAAGGTCCTGCAGGAGTTACAATAACTGTGCTGCACGAGGCCCTGTGAAGCTGGGGAATGTGCTTTTTGAATGCAGAGTACATCAAACACAGCAAATGCTGTGCCTTCAGCTGCCTTTTGTGAGAGTAGGGGGCAGGTCCTGCAGGGAGAGCAAAGAGACAATGAGAGAACTGGATTTGCACATTGCAGTATTTGGTTTCCTTGTGGAGCCATTGGCATTGTTCTTGACTTTTATAACATTGAATATTTTCCACTGCACACTGCTGCCAGAGTCAAACAGAATCCTGCTGCCAGTTGAGATATTCCAGACAGACAGTCAAGAGCTAAAATTCTATATAGTGGATGGCAAGACAGCCATTTTCTAATACTCAATATATTTTGGTGACTAAGCAAAACCCCAAACCACATATAAGTAAGAAATAAATAAGACATTAGGTATTTTTATTTAAGAAATTATAACTCTCATCAGAGACTAAATAAGACTATTATGGTGGCAAATGCAGTTCCTTAGTAAAGTGCAGTTTTAATTAGGAAAGGTAATCAAAGTAGTTTAAAGCAATCTAATCCACAGAATCATTCAGTGTTGCATTCTGCAGTGTATGCTTTGCTTGGCTAATAAACTAGAAAATGCACTTAAGCGCCTGTGGAGATTCAGACTCTCATTAAGTGCCTGCCATGGAGGGAAAACTAGCAGTGATTTATCAGCAGACTCTTGGTTCTCAGTCTCAGGCACTCGGATTTGATCTAATTCAAGTAACATGGATAAGTTGCAGCAGTTCAGACTTGCTGTATTCTCACTTTCTTTTTGACACCAGAGGGGGGGCTTAGTGTCTTCCTTTCATTTACCTCGTGATTTCCTGGTGTGTCACAGCTCCTGTCCCAGCCCCAACCATCATCTCCCACAGCATGCCCAGTCAGCGTGCCTCCTCCAGCCAGGTGTCCCATGTCTGCTGCCCTGCACCCCTGCTTACCAGGGACTTTTTCACACCACCAGGGGTTGTGGGAAGCTCTTTTTCCAGTTGGAGGCATGTCTCTGCATCTACATCATCTCAATGCTTTTCTCCCTCTCTGTGTGCAATTCATATTTCTTTCCTGTGTCTTCTTTTCTTTCTTATATTTTTCCTTTTATCTTCTTCTAGTTGTCCCTTATCCATCTTCTTAGGACAAATAGGTGTCGAGCTGCCCTCTCAAATACTACTTGCATGAAATGAAATGTGACAATATTTCAGCAGTCTGACAAGGCTGTTGTGGACACAATGACCTGTTCTGCCAGTATGTAATAGAGTTAGTATACAGCCTTGGTTTCTTTAAAAGTCATTCTTCTCATAAATCATACTTGGAATTTTTATATTAGGAAAGGTCCAAAAATGTAAATACTTTGCATTCATCTATAATGCTAACTGTAATTAAGAAATAATTACTGATTTCATTGTGTTTCATATTGATGTACCTTTTAGGGGCATTTTGATTGTTTTAGATTACTGTGGCTCTGAACTGGCTTTGGTGGATCCTTTCTGCTTATTTTGTGTGACTGTATGGGGGTTAGATCTGTCCCAAAGCTAAAGAGTAACCTACTGCAGCAGCACTAATATAATATCAATTATAAATATTCCAGTTCTGTGCTTGCAAGGGAAATGTAGTGCGTCCACAATTAGGTGGTAAAAGTTGATGGTCGTAGCACTGTATGTATGGGGGCTCATGCAAAAAGTGGAAAGACAGAGTAGGGGGATGGAGTTAAAATTTTGTTAGTGCAGTGGAGCATTATTCTTTTTCAAGAGTAAAAACCTATTTTCTGCTTTAGAAAGTGATAGTCAACATACCAAGAAGTGTCTATTGAAAATGGCATCCTGGCCTCTCTTCTTTCATCTGAATTTATAGGTAATATTTTGAGACTGGAATCTTTCCTGTGCTTTTAAGCAATTTGAACAGTTAGAAGTTTGGAGAAACTAAAACAGACAAAGAAGCTGTTATCAGATCCTTCTATACCACTTAAAAATCATTCAATTCGATGAAGTGATTTGCAGACCCTTTATTGTGTTTTTCATTTTGCGGCCAAGTGTCATTTTGTTATGAGTGCTTCAAGTCTGTGTAATGTCTCTGCCTCAGAGAAATGTCTCTGGGCAGTGCAGTTTGATGGACAGCTGTGTTATGTGTAGGTGTGTTTATGTTTGTGTGTGTATGCATGAGTGTATGGATCTATGTAAGCGTGTGTGTACACAGGCACATAAAATATTTTAATAGCACAACCTGTAGGTATCAGCCCAAACCGCAGAGTTGAAGTCTGGGGTTCTGTAAAAGCCTCATGAGCATAAAAAAATCTGGAATATAGTTCAGTTCATTATAAAGGTAAAAGTTGGCTTCAGAGTTCAAACCTGAGCTTCCAGAAAGTTCAGGGAATATTCAGATCCAAGGTGCTGGTTAGAATCCATCTCTGTATTAAAATAAAATCCCCAGCCTTTAAAATAATGCTTTATTCATGCATTACTACTTTTTTTTTTTTCTGTTCATCATCTTTATTTCCCTATACAACATCTTTCCATTTAGTTGATATCTCAAAATGACCATTTGTGAGAATGTTGTCATTCTTGTCTTAGACTAATTCCAAAATCAATACATTCAATTTTCAATGCTTGTCACAAAATTACCTTGCAAATAGAGTTCTATAGGTCTTTCCGTTGCAATTTTAAATAAGCAAGGCTTTTCTGGGTAAAACAGTAAAAGATTACATTCCCACTATCTTTCATGACACCGTGTATGTTCACAGATAAAGAACAAGCTCTGAAATGATGCAGTGGATAGCTCTATAAAACTGATGGCCCAGTTATAATTAGGCAGTCCTGCTTGAATTGTGCAATTTAAACCAAGCTCTTCTGAATTGCTTTGTACCTAAATCAGGGAGTCACACAGCACAGTATCTAGCTCAGAGTTGAAAATGGAACAGAATTAAACATCTGTCATAAATATGGAATGTAAATGGCAGTGTGTAAAATGAACCAGAAAACTGCTTGTTTTCTTCTCTTTTGCTGAAGTCTAATGTGAATTCATATTTAGCTTTCCTGACATGGATTTTCAACCCTGTGTGCCATCTTCACATTGAAGGTTCCCAGAAGATATCTAAGTTCTTACCATGACTCTTACTAATTGTACATTTACGTCACTCATTTTGAAAAAAAACCTATCTTGCTGGTGCTGACTAGCAATCATTTGTGCTCTTTTATCTTCCTGCAGAAATTATGGGGCTGTTCAATGCATAGTGACCCTAACTGGATAATCTCTGTAATATTATGTAATTTTCCTGTGTAGGGTGAACCAGGCCTTCCTGGGCTTCCTGGACTCCCTGGAATAAAGGTAAATACTGTAGTACCTGTTGTACTGGGTGGGAATACCACAAAGAGGGGGGGAATGCAAGAATGTGACTCAAATGGACTTACTGTAGTGTCTTGCATCTTTTTCTGTTTCTGAGGTATTGAACTGGGGTTTTTTACAGAAAGTTCTCACATGGAAAATCGGTTAAGTGTCTTATGAGTAGGCAAACAGTATATCTTACATTAAAATATGAAGCAGAATATTCTAGTTTTTTTCTTTTAAAAATCTAAAATAGTAGAGGTTTTTATATTTTTTTCTTGAATGGAAAAGTCTTGTCATCAAAGTTATAGTTGGTTTCCACTTTGTGTGCTTTCCAGTAGCAATATTCTACTGAATTAACCAAGCCTCTAGCCAGAGAACTGCATTAATTATAGGCAACCTGGCTCTGTTGACAGAAATATTCTGTGCTCCATTACATAGCAGTGATTTCCATTGACAAGTCAAAATATTTTAATAATATTCTATTCAGTGTTAGCTACAGTCCCTGACACAATACTTGGTTTAGTCCCTGACTTCCAGTTTGTTGGAATCTTTAGATAAGTTGATACAAAAGACACATATTTGGTTTAGTTCTAGCATAAGTGGTTGCACTAGGATCTGCAGACATTTGCACAGTTTGAGCTGTAACTGTGTAATTCTCCACAGAGGGAGCAGATTCACATATCCTGAGTGAGTGCAGATCAGAATGGCCACTTTTCCTTTATGTCAAAGACTGTTCTTTCAGAAAACAAAATCTCTTTGAAACCTTTTCTTTGCATTCCAGCATGGCCCTGTGTATGTCTCAAGGAAAAAGTTTATAGGATTTCCTTCATAACAAGGAGGATAAGTTAGAAACCAACTTCTTTTCCATTGTGGTGGGATTCAGGATTTATCTCATGGAGTATAATATTTGCAGTGATTTTCTCAAGGGACCTGTGAATTGCTACACTATTGAAGCATAATGTCCTTTCTGTGTTACTAGTGAATTATGGGGGGAAACTGAATGTGCTATTAGATTTTGTGTGTTCTAACAGCTTAAAATGTAGTTCCTGTGGAGGTTGTTCATTTTCGACAAGAATAAACTCTATACTGAGTAGCGAAGATCATGCAGGAGAAGTCTTGTGTGATTAAGCTATTTTTATTAGGGTCTTTGGCAGCAATCCCTATTCTGTTTACTTTAACAGTGAGCAAAGAGGTAGCTCAGCTGGAGGTCAGTGGGGCACTTGCCTGAGGCACTCATCCCAGGGACACCTGCCAAAAGCAACCAGAGCCGTGGCTGCTCTTTGGGGTTCCCATGTTCATGCAGACCACATGTCCACTCATATAACCAGTAAATAAAAAAGTTTGCATCTGAGTGGCTGCTGTGGGAAAATTATTTGTTGGCAATAAGAATGGCTCAGAAGCGCAGCTTCCAGAATCACCTGAAAGACAAAATGTGAAGTGAAAAATTAATGGTGGGAGTTTTGCCCAGTGAAAATTTGTTTCCAAATTCAATGGATACAGTGGAAAAACAGTGCAGTTGCCGGCAGAGCCAAATGGAATCATTTGGTCAAATATTAATCATTTAGGAAAATACTTTCTCCTGTTTAAAATCCAGTCCAGGGGGAAACTAGTGGTGTTTCAGTGAAGAAATTTCATCTAATGCAATTCTGAATTCTGTGACCTGGATGGTGACAAGGAAGCAGAATATGCACAGGACAGAGCAAAGCATATCTGGTCACATTAGACTTGCAGGATGGTTGCTGTTCATTTCAAGGCATTTGTAATCACTGTTTTATTAAGCAGTCTGTAGTAAAAGACCCTAGAGTCTTCTGAATCACTGAGACTATGTCTGTGGCATAAGAAGTGGTAGCAGAAACTAGAGAATGGCTGGAGTTAGGAATATGGGCACTCATCAGCAAAGGTCAAGTAGTAGTTTCCTCCCTTTTAGCAAAGATTTATGTACCACCATGGTAAGATCATTATGTCGATTTCCAAAAACAACATCATTGTTATCTCATGGAGAAACAAATTTCCAGTGATCTGGTGTTGATCAAAAGCTACTTTGAAATAGCAGAGACAGGATGAGAAAATTGAGCGTGGAGAAAATTCAGTTGTCTGGACTTGGAATCAGTTGGTGCTGTCATCTTGTACAAAACCAAGAGGAATCATCTTACTTGGAGCAGTGACTTCTTTTTCTTTTTTTTTTTTTTCTTCCTTCCAGAGTGATCCTTTTTGTTTGTTACAATTTTTTTTTTCTGGGATTTTGGGTTCTGTTCCCATGTGAACTTTATAAAACTCTCCAAGATATATCTTTGCTACTCTAAGATTATCTTAACAGTGATATGCAGTAGTGGTGTAATATCAAATACCTAGCAGAAACCTCTCACGATGGCATTGCAACATCTAAGAACTTGTTACAAAATTTAAGTTTCCATAAGGAAAAGTTTTCCTAACAAACAGATTACACCTTTTCATGCATTTGTGTGCCAGCCCAGTAGCTGTTGGCAGAGATTTTTCAGGCTTTTTCCAAACTTTGTGAGAGGTAAGGAAAAGATCAAGATACAGGTTTATTCTACACATTGAAAATTTCTGGATGTAGTTCTTAAATGTTAAATATTAAGTCTCGTTTCCTTAAATCTGTTAGTTGACCTTAAAATTGCTTCCTTGTGAATGATTCTCTACAGTGGCAGGCTGTATTATGAAATGTTTTAGGTAACTGTGCCCATGCACAGCACTCTCCACAAAAGCTAAACCAACCTGTGCAAACACAAATGCTGTGCCAGGCAGTGGATCATTTCTCTCCAGCTACAGCTCAACTTTCTTCCCAAGGCTGAGCAAGCTTCCCAAGACATCCACTCCTCTGTGCTTCAGCATACAGGAAGGGTTAATGAACACTAATCACTGAGAAGCTTTCAGCTTCTTATAATGCCATTTCAATCACTTAATCAATGTTCCTGGGAACCTGTAAGGACTTGGCTGAATGTGATACTGCGGTCTGAATGAGTGGCAACATTGCACAGACATGCAAGTATCGTATCTGAATTCAGGGTACACTGCAGGGTCTGCTATTACTTACTTTTCTAGACTCATTCACTAGGCACGTGAGGATGTTTTGGGAGTTCTTCCTCTTCCTTTTCATTCTCTCCTCCTTTGTCAGTTGGTGCCATGCAGGAAACACAAGTGCAGTCAGTTATTTCCAAGACAGTGTAGAAGCTCTCTCTGACATACTGGAGAAACATTTCTCAAGCACCTGTTGCTGTTTAGGAATGGCTGGAAACTTAATGAGCCCTAAATGTGTTCCACCTAAACTCAGAATATTAACTCATTGCTCTACTATCCCCCAACTGATGCCAAACAGACACAGAAGCCTGTCTGTGAAACACAGACTTCATATATCTGTTTTACCTCATAACTTTTGTAGAAGATACTTACAAAGCAGCACTTGCTTACTGTGATGGAAATCATGCATGCCCTCATTCACTGTAATGTCAGATCTCTCAAATCTGTTGCATTGCATTTTGTGGAATTTGGCCTGTACAGTCCTCAATTTCCTCACTGCAGTGAGAAGCCTTCACAAAACACAAACCTCTTCTCAGTAACAGCACCTTTTTCAGGATCTAGATTTTTCTGTGGTATTTCTGGCATTTGTCCCTCAGATTTTAAAACAAATACTGAACTGAAGCTTACCAGCACATACAAATTTTTATTTTATTGTATTCAAAAAAACTGAACCATTATGTGGTTTGACATGAGAAGAGGAAGGTTGCTTAGCCCTTCTGCTTTTGGGAAGTATGGAAACCTTTCTGTGTTTTGAAATGCAATAGAATTGGCTGATTCAATAAATTTGTCAGTGTGCAGTGTCTTGCATCTTTCTGTACAATCACTTTGGATTGACTTCCCTGAGACTGTGCCTGAGCAAGGTTTCAGGAAAAACCTGGATAAGGATATGATTAATTTGAATAAATTTTATATCCTTTCATTCTTCTTGTTATGAAAGCAAAAGTGGTTCTAATTATTTCTGTACCTATTTTTTTTCTATACCTTCTCAGAGATCTTATCCTCTAAAGACTAAAAGACTCTGCTCCTCAGAACGTATTTTTAAGGTCTAAAGGGCTTCATACAACTTTCACTCTGTTAGTTCTGTTAGAAAAGAGAAATCTTGGAGGAAATGAGAGAGAATTTTCCAGCTGGATGCATGGAAGTTAGTCTCCTATTTAAACTCTTGTAGAAGAGAGCAACTGTTGTTGAAGCTTATGTGTTTAAGTGCTGCTCTTTCCATCTGGCAGCAAAATGAAAGGAAACCTGAAGTGAATGGTAGTTCTAAGCATTTTGGTTTGGAGTCAATGCCATTTACTGCCTATAGGAAAGTTTGGTAAATTCCCCTCTTCTCCCAGGAGTTCTTAGGAAGGCTGTTCTTTTTCTAATTTTCCTAATGCAGTTTTCCTTTTCTGTATTTCCACTCTTCTTGTTTTTATTCCTTGATAGCATTAACAGTAATCCTGCAGGGTCTCTCTGTCTCTCCTCTCTCTCTTCCCCCTCTGCAGGTTCTGGGTGTAAATGGGAACTGATCTAAAAATAGGACTTAGTACCCACCTTTGGTGGGCTGGGTGTCAGAAGTGTCTCTGTGCATTGGTAGGTAAAATACATTACATGACTGTGCAATGTGTTTTAGTGTTCGCTTTCCAGAATGGAAGTAGGTATACAAACATATATCTGCATATTACACCTCTAGCTTTGTTCATTGATTCCTAGCTGTCTGCTTTCCATATATTATGGCAGTAACCAGCTGCATGGGGTAGACATGTAATTTCCAAAAACTGATTTTGAGAATCAAGGCCAGAAAGTGAAATCATCATTAACATTGGATGGTATGCGTGTGTCAGGGGTGCTTACTTGGGTGTAAGATCTAGAGAAATTCTTCAAGTTCTTATTGATCTCTCACAAACTATATCCTCGAAATCTCTTATTTTCTGTTCTGGAAAAGATAACACATAAGGAACTGAAACACAGACTGTTGTATC